ACTCCAAAAATATCGGATTTAATTCATGTAATTTGTCAATAGGAGGAACCTGCAGACTTATAGTCACTTATCATAAAAAGTACAATGTGTTTTATTAATGTTGATTCCAGGTGTGGTAGTCACTTATCATAAGAAATGGTTAAAAAGTACAATGTGTTTTATTAATGTTGATTCCAGGTGTAAAAATCACTTATCATAACAAATGGTTAAAAAGTACAATGTGTTTTATTAATGTTGATTCCAGGTGTAAAAATCACTTATCATAACAAATGGTTAAAAAGTACAATGTGTTTTATTAATGTTGATTCCAGATGTAGTAGTCACTTATCATAACACATGGTTAAAAAGTACAATGTGCTTTATTAATGTTGATTCCAGGTGTAGTAGTCACTTATCATAACAAATGGTTAAAAAGTACAATGTGTTTTATTAATGTTGATTGCAGGTGTAGTAGTCACTTATCATAACAAATGGTTAAAAAGTACAATGTGTTTTATTAATGTTGATTCCAGGTGTAGGGAAATCTACAGTTGCGGCTTTGCTGAGTCAAACTTTTGCAAAAACACACAAAGTGGGAGTAGTAGACCTGGACATATGTGGACCAAGTATGTCCAAACTAATGGGTGTAGAATCTCAGGAAATTATCAACACACAGTATGGTTGGAAACCACTCAGGTATACATCCTATATCACTGTGCAAAAACCATGGTATATGTCATCTTTTGTTGTTGTTGTAGGGTTTAATGCCATTTTTCAGCACAAGATAGGCTATACATGGCAGCCAGTATAATGGTGGAGGAAGAACCTGGGAAAACCCTGGAAAGAATTACTGACCTACGAGAAGTTACTAACAAGATTTCTCACCCACATTGGCCAAACCCATGACTTAAACCCACGCAGACAGAGATGAGATGACAATGATCCTTAATGGTGAGAGCTTTAGACAGCTCTGCCGGTCAGGGCCTCTTGTCCTTTTGTAAAGCAATGCCAGCTTAGTTCATTGTTGTTTAATGAAATTACAATGGTGAGTATATCACTCACCCTGAGTAAATAGGTACTTTCAAATTACATGGAACATAAATTGCATGTTCATTTGTAAAGGTAAGAAATAATAGTCACTTTATTAACAGTGAAACCTGCAGACATCTCATTATGAGTAACCCTCTCTGTAGCAGACAACTTGATATAAATGGAACCTGTTTTAGCAGACAACTCATTATGAATTAAGTTTCCTGTAGCAGACTTCTCCATATGAATGAACCCAACTTCTGGCAGACACCTGTATGTGAATATACCCTGCTGTTGCTGACACATCTATGTGAATGAAGTTTCCTAATTGAGCAGGCACCTCAGCATGTATGAATTCTGTTGTAGCAGACACCTTCAATGTGAATGAAACCTGCTGTTGCTGACACCTGTATTAAAATGAAATCAGATATAGTCAGACACCTACATATGTGTGAAACATGCTGTAGCAGACACCTGAGTGAACTCTGCTGTAACCTGCACATCCATATAAATTAATCTTGCTGTAACAGACACATCTGTGTAAATTAATCCTGCTGTAGCAGGCACATCCATATAAATTAATCCTGCTGTAGCATACACTGCCATTTGAATGAACCCTTTATCTAGCTAATAGCTCTGTATAAATTAAATTAATCATTTGTAAACCCCTCTTAATTGTACTTTGCATATTTATTTAAAGGATAACTGTTTACATAGGACATAGAATCAAGCACTATTTACAGACAAGTTTCATTGTGCCATCAATCATGTCTTTGTAGACATCTCCATTATGTGTGTGTGTGTGTGTGTGTGTGTGTGTGTGTGTGTGTGTGTATAGATAACCTAATGTGATCTTTATTAAAAGTTTGTACTGTACTTTTCCAGTTCCCCTCACAATGGGATCAAAGTGATGTCAGTGGCTTCCATGCTTCAATCAAGGGAAAGTTCTGTCATCTTCAGAGGACCAAGAAAAACAGGTTTATTATCCACATGGATCAAGTTTGTATTACAAACTTTTTTTTACTGCAACATGTTTCTAAAGAAAAGACAGAATGGTCCACTTTTGGTATTATGGTTAAAATTTTATTAAGTGCATGGTCTCTTAAAACTACAGGTATATTTGCATCAGGCAGGACAAAATATTTATGGATTTTTCTTCTCTGCAATTTTTCCAACAAGTGCATTGATCATTTTATTTCCAGATAAAAATTTATATATATATATATATATATATATATATATATATATATATATATATATATATATATATATATATATATATACATATATATATATACATATATATATATATATATATATATATATATATATATATATATGCAGTATTTGCAGTGTGACTTATATCTAAAGCAAGTACCAGTTGTTAATTGTTATGACAATAGATATAGTTGTTATGATTGTGCTGAATGTTGTTGTTGATTGCTAATATGAAAAACATGTTTATTGATTTTTCATTATCAACATCAGACATAATTAGAAGAGAAACTTATGTCCTTTAAATTCTATCATATTGGTCTCATTAAATTAAAAACACATTTTTTTTTTTCAGAATTTAGTAAAGAATGTTAGAAATAACTATGTTATTAGGTTAAAAAAATTGGTTGCAAAATTTGTATTTGGTTAAATATGCATTATGCACATTGCTTCATTTGCATTAATTATATGTATCTCTTCCATTCAATAAACAGTATAGTTTTTGGCAAGTGAAGTTCTCTGTATTTTTTTCAGGATTGATAAAAAGATTCTTGAAAGACACATTTTGGGGAAAGCTTGATTATCTTATTTGTGGTAAGTACTTGCAATGTACATGAAGATTACTTACCAGTTTGGGGAAAAATATAGTACAGCCACTTAAAAGCTGCCACCAAGAAATAGGTGAAAAATGGGAGCTGCATAAGAGAGTCTGTTGATAAAGGGAGGTAACAATATTACAGTAAAACATGCTGTACAAAGATTGTTTAGTTAGAACAATACTTATAGGTTTACTTCATTAAATTTATTATCATGTTTAACCATTATATATATAGTACTCCTGTCCATTAAAGAAAAATCTGTATAGCCATTTTAAATTCAATTATGGGTTGATTTCATTGTTTAAGGAAATAAGGAAAACATTAGAACAGAAGTTTAGAAGCTAGATTTGATATGAGAGGTTGTTCTTGAAGTGAGATGAAGATTGTTGTACATTGGATTGTATACCATTTCTTGAATAACCAAAGAATTTGTGACCATATTCATGATCAGCAGTTAAATAACTCAATAACTCAAACTTCAAATATTTGACAGATCCTATTGCCTTTTGTCCTGGACAAATTTTCAAATCAAAAATTTTACAAGGTGCTTATCCAGGGCAAGTGTTATTTTTTGTTTTAGAAACATGTTGTGCAGGTGCTTATTTTGATACTATAATCACTTTACTGACCAATCATCCCCACTGGACATTTTGAATGCTTGAATCTAACCTCTCATCATTTATTCTGTTATGAGTCTATGCTCTGAAAATAAGTAACAGAAAAGAGTGAAGACAACAAGCTTTGTAAAATTTAACAAATAAATTTATTTTCCTAGAATACAAAGTGAAAATAGAAAGAAAAAAAAACTTATGGTATTGTGAATTAAATCCCAAAATAATTCACAAGACACAAATCCTAATAAAAAGTCCTGAAAAGATCCAAAACTGAAGGCAATGACCTATCTGTTAAAGCAAACAGCATGCTGATGTGTCAACAGTTTGTTGAATCACAGAAATATTACTCCAGGTTTGAATTTAGCATAAATTACAGTGCATGCCTAAATCCAAGAATTTTGTCAGAGCACTTTTGTATCTCCAGAGAAAATAATCTCTTGAATTCAATAATTTGAAGAAAATAAAATTCAGCCCAAAGTTGGTAACAACAAACTTGAAGGTGCTAGATGTTAAAGAATGACTTAATAAATCCTTACAATCACAAGATTATATGCTTCTTTGCTTAACCTCAGGTCACAATTAGCATTTTCCTAATGGAAAATAACCTTCTAGAATAATCTAATGAGCCTTATTTACTTACAACACAATAACCTGTAAAATTCACTTAGGAATCCCGAAAACCCTGACCCAAATCAACATATTTACTACTTGTTTACCTGAATAAAAATCCTGATATTAAGCTCATACAGGTAGAGAATAATTTAGCTATATATTAGTTATTGACATAAATGAAATAATTTTTTTTTTTTTAAAAGTCCATTGGGTCTGGGGAGAAATGAACTCAATTTTGGACAAGGTCAAGTCAATCATACAATGTTACATTACAACAGCATGTCATGAAATGAAACAATTAAACTAACAAGCAAACAATTAAATTAAATATACATAACAGTTCATACATACTATAATACTACAATAAGTAAGACAGCACTCTGAGCAACTGACCATGACCATTGCAGAATTCCAGTTCATAAACATTTAGTGAAAGTTACACATGTAGACTAGTTGAAGTGAATGCTGAATATAACTAATTTTTAAGTATATTTTGTATTTTTATTCTGATTCTAATCCAAATAGATTTGGCCTTGTGACAAACATTTTGTCCTGCTGCATAACACAGGTGAAAATTTTTGTTTCTCCAGTGCATGTAATGGATGTGGTTTTAGTTATCCATCAGCAAAAATCAATGACCTAGCTTTAGTGTTAATTTTGAATCCTGGTTATGGAGGGGAAGACTGTAATATGCATTAAAAGCCTTGAGATTTGTGATGGCTAACCAATGTATTTGCTCTAGTTGTACCTGCTTTAATAAGCACACACTCCTTTTCTTGTCTGAAACTCACAAAAAGACACCCTTATTCAAGCTTGCATCTCTAATGAGAAAGAGATGCAGTGTCAAAAACCAGCATAACACATGATTTTTGTCTGATCTTAACATCATGCATGCCTGGTGCCTTGTCACCACTGAATTTTGTGGGTTACGCAAGTTTTTTGTTCAGCATGAGATTGCTCTGGTGGCCTAGTGGTTAGAGTATCAACATTGGGTGTAGGAGGTCACAGGTTCAATCCATGACCAAATCATATCAAAGACTTATAAAAAAAATAATAAAGCTGCTGTGCTAGGTGCTCAGCATTAAGAGGTTAGTATTAGGAACAGTAGGTATGGTGTCAGGATAATGTAACTGGGTGGGTCATCATACTCCATGTCTGCAGCATGATACCCCAGTACTAGACATCACTATAAACTGTCACAATGCACACATCATAGCAATATGACTGAAAAATTGTTAAAGCTACATTAATACTCCAATCACACACACAGACATACACTCTTCAGCATAATTGGATTGAGAAAGAGAATGCAGTCAAAGATGAATTTTCTGTGTGTAGGTCTGTGAATACATTTGTGTGAGCATGCATGTGTGTGTGACATTGTTTATGTTAGTGTATGTTTATAAGATGATTGAAATTAACAACACAAAATTTAGTCATAAATATAATTTCTTAAGCACACAGCTGACATAGTATGCCAAATACAACAACAAAGTAATGAATCCAGGACTTTTTAAAAGGGGAAGCTCTCCTCCTTCCTATTCAAAAATGGGGGAACAATAAATATTAAAGGCTAATTCGAATTTCTTACTGATTAAGAATACATAGAGTTGGTTTCAACACCCAGCACTTAAAAAGAAGAAATAGATCATGAATTTCTGAAAATTATTTGTCGAGAATACTGTTTCAATCCCTTGGAGGGACTTTTGTTTTGTGATGTGTAGTATTTATGTATATATACCTATAGCACATATAATTTCTGTTTGATCTATGCAGATATATTTGTTTTACATAGGAGAGTCACAGTGACTGAGTGGATAGCATGCTAGAAATGAAATGGTGCAGGTTCAGATCTAATTTAAGACCAGCCTGGTTCAGCTACCATGGTGTGTCCTTGTGAAAAGCACTTTTCTTTAATTGTGTTGACATTTTATAACCTACATGTGTTGATGTGCCATAAACACCAAGTCAAACCAAACACTGTAGCAGATAAATTTTCTATATATCTCTGTAAATATGTTTTTGTTCATCAAATTTATGTTTATGTATGCAAGTATGTGTGTATAGTCAAAACTGTTCATAGCAATCATCCATGGGAAAAAGCCAAACTGGTGTACTGGTTACATTAGTATGCAGGTTAAACATTTGGATTTGGAACAAATACCATGCACCAAATCCCATTATTATTGTCATTCTCAACATATGTTGTTAAGAGCATTATTGAACACAATTATAAAATGCATGTATATATTTTTCTCAGAGTTATCCAAACAAGATTGTTGTATCATATTCACCTTAAATTCATCATACAAATTTGGCATCACCATTAACAAAAATAATTTGTGTTGTATGTCAAGACAAAACACTAATTTCACCACTAATTTCCTGCGAAACAAAGGATTGACTACATTCAGCTAATATTTATAACTAGGCTTATGATATTGTTCACACTTAAAACAATATATGGATTAACCAGTTACACAACTGAAGGAGATCAAAAGACATTTGAGAAGCCAGTGTTGAAGAAGCATAATTGTAACTACTGTAAACCTAACATGATATTTCACCAACTTAGTAAACAGTGAATGACCACTGCTTCTAATGAAAAAGGATTTAGCTTATTTCATTCCAATGAGATTAACTTTTTGGGTCAGAGATAACTTTCATTGACTGGCAAATAAAATAGATGAATATAATGAACTATACCTTCACACATGCATAAAAGATGACTGTAATTTTTGCTGTAACAACATTACTTTTCCTACAGTCCTGTAAATGCATTTACTTCAACTCTGTCTCTAATTAAACACTTTACATTTGATAGACACCTTTGAGTTAGACTGACAAAGTACATTGAGTGCAACATGTTTTACTATTGATTTACATGGTGTGCCCTTTATCAAAGCAATGCCATTCTACTGTAACAATAGTTTAATTTCATACATGGAGTGGCGAATTTCAGTATGCTCCAGATACCACATAAGGTATTGAGAAGTCATAATATTTGGTTAGGAAATGACACAAAAAGCAGGTGACCATTATACACATGATTTAGAAAAATTAGAATGGCCATTAAGATTCAGTATAGAAGTGACTATTCAAACAGGTTTGATAGCATGTATATTCAGGTAGATGTAATGGATTGATCGATACACCTGTCTAATCATCAATCTTTTGTTGTTCCACATTTTTCTGACATTTTGACTTACACCTGTGATGGAGCCCTGGATGGATGAGTGGTCTAAGATGCTTATTTTTATATAATCAGTGACACCCCACCTCAGTCTGCATGGGTTCAAGTCTCTGATTGGCTAGTGTGGGTAAATGAGAAAGCTTGCCTATAGTTTCCCATGGGTCATTGGTTCTTAACAGGGTTTCAGGGTTCTTAGTCCATTAAATATACTGGCCACTATGTATATTCTATCATATTCTGAAAAATGGTATTAAACCCATAAAAATAAACTCACATCTGTGTAAATTTATTTTTCAGACACTCCACCAGGGACCAGTGATGAGCATCTCACAGTCGTTAAAATTTTAAAGAGTACAAATCCAGATGGGGCTGTGATTGTAACAACACCTCAGCAGGTTGCACTAGCAACCATTCGGAAGGAGATCAACTTTTGCCGGAAGATGAGCTTACCAATCATTGGTCTCTTAGAAAACATGAATAGCTTTGTGTGTCCCTGCTGTGAAGTAAGTAGCAGGTTTTCAGAAATTTTAACTTTATTTATTTATTAGGATGCCACTTGAAGAAGTTTGTGGAGTTTGTCCATCAATGTCCATCATCTGTTTAGTTTCTCCAAGATAACTTGACTGGTAATTGTTGGATTTTAACCACAGTTGGCATTATACTGATGAGACCTGATTAATTCTCAGTCTTCAAGATCATCATTTAAAAAAGTTATGGCTCCTGATTGCCTGATTTCAGAGGTTTTTCTTTGCAAAGGATTGTTCCATGAAATCATTTACAGAAGTTATACTAATAATTGAATGTTAATTTGATTTTGGTTTCCACTGCATAGCTTTACCAAAGTCTATTTGATTTCAGCCAAATTTGATTGTGTTTCTTATATTGATGTGACCTTGATTAATTTCCAATATTTCATGAGTTATACACCCATTTGGCCAATCAAATTTTTAATATGTGTTCAAATTGATAATTAGTTTGATTTTTTTTTTCTAGTGTTCTGCTTGATTACCAGGAGTTAAGTCCCCAAGGGTTGCTGGATTTTAACTAAATTTGGTATGTGGCTTTACACTGATAAGATGTATGACCCATGATTATGTGACTTCCTAACCTTGTTTTCCACATGCTGCTTTAATAAGGATTGTTGGCATGCAACTTAATAATGATAAGACCTTCAAGTGTTTGATTTCCATTGTTGCAAGAGTTGTGGCCTCTATTTATCACTCATGTATGAAGTAGAGGATTGCAGTTGTACCATTGATGGTGTCATTGTCTGTGAATATTAAAGCATATACAGAATTTTATGTACAGGTTCAATAATTCTTTTTTTCTACTTTTGAGTAGGTTTCATAGCAGTCTTCCTGGAGACACTGCTAAGGGGACTAAATTTATTTATACATGGACAATATTTGTGCATTCCTGGTCATGAATGTGTATTTATTTCAATGACAACATAGGTTTTTTGTACTCTGTATAGATGCTATTATATCTGGAAACAAGTATCATACCATCATGACAAAAGTTTGTCATCTTATTTTTCATTGCCTTTGGTTAAGTTTTTTGCTTTTAGCTTATTTCCCAAGATGATTCATATATGGGATGCTATGCTGTATGTTGGATCTTCTGGCCACCATGTATAACCTATCATATGCTGAAAAAGGGCATTAATCCATCATTATACTAGCTGACTGTGTGCATATGTATTAATACCACACCTTCACAACAAAAAGGTCACAGTGATAAATATTTCATCTTTTGTTGGTTTTGATTAAGTGTTTGCATTTAACTTGGAACCACATAGTTTTTTCCATGCTATATACATCCTTTCCTACCTATAATCTAATCATGGCATTTGGTGAAGTGAAGCATCTTTATACTTAGTACAACCTTATGTACAAAAAGTTCTCAATGTGATCGGGTTCTTCCTCCACCAAATATACAGTCTGCCATGTATAGCCTATCATGCGCATAACAACAATAACTAGTTGATAAAAGAAAATAGATCACATTATGTAATAACACAAGTATCATTACCTCCATTAACCGAATATATTTATTAATTGCCTTCATTTCATGGGACATGGGTGGCAGAATGGTCTAAACTGCTTGTCTTTATAGATTACCAACATCTCACCTCTTTCTGAATAAGTTTGAGTCTTAAGCTCAGCCAACATGGGCATTGCCATTGCCATTGCCTTCTCACTGGTCACTATTTCATCTCAGGTTTTTCTATGCTTTTTCTCTTTCTGTGAGGCCATCATTTATAGCCTGTCATGTGCTGATAAATGGTATTAAACCCAAAACAACAACCTTCATTTCATGCTTTAAGATGTAACGTTTCCTGTGTGCTACAATTATTAAATCAGAGTAGTATCAGTAAGTGAATTCATAACGGCAAATTCTGTACCTTTGAAAATTACACCACTCCCTTTCTTTAATGACCTTTGTTGTATTTCTTGCTACAAGGCAAGAATGGACATTGATCCCATTTCATGAAGTGGTACTAAAATTATATGTACATGGATCACTTGATTTATTTTCACACTATCGTACAAGCAAAAAAAAAAATTCTGGGAAATTGAGATTCATGGGAGGTTGAGATTCTTCAGTACTATTAGCGTTTTTCACATGGTGGGTTTTTTGACATCATTATTGTGTATGTTTGGGCTTAAATAAAATGTAAGGCATAAATTTACCACATATACTTGCTTATAAGTCAAGTCAAACTGCAAACAACAAAGATCCTGATGTGCCATAGCACCTACAGACCAGATCGTAGTGTATATTGTTTGTTGTTCTGATTACTTGCACTGACTGGCACATTAATGCCATTATTTCA